GCGCATGCGCTGGCCGGCTTAGATCGCGTCGTCAGGCCCTCAGAGGTCACTTCGCCGGTAGCTACGACCACGTCGGCCACTCTGGTCTCTAGCAGAACTGAGACGGATCAGAAGGGGCGTACAGAATTCCCGCCTCGCCTTTATACCCATGTTTCAGCGCCCCTAGTGTCACGGGGCGGCAACTCTGTTCGGCCCGCCCAGCGCCCCCTAGTCTCATGGGCCCGTAACTTTCAATTATTCATCTCTCCAATAACACATAACCTCATTCCTTCACGTTTGTTATCGCGCCGGCTCGTAACTTTAAATCGTCTCCCGTCAAACTGTCCCGTCGTGGAACTTCGTACTACGTACGAGGTCAAACACACGGCGGGCTTGGCTTAGACCTAGCGATGACGTCAGTCCCATGGACAAATCCATCGTCAGTCCACAGAAAGATTAGTATATCCCTTAATTGCCAGATTGGCCTCTTTGTAGCTTACAAAATTAAGAATGAGACTGTCTTGAGCAGCACAGACACATGTACTATTTTATCAGCAAAACATGTATTTATCATTCAGCCTTTCTCTAACTACTATCAGATTAATCAGAACATTTATTATCAGCATGGCACTACTCTTTTTTGTTTATTGACTTTTTAACCACCTACAGTTCCTGTTTGGCATTTACTCATCGTTTTCTCCCCACCACAGAATTCTACACATGTAGAATTCTGTGCTCCCCACTAATAACTTACCTGGCCCTTAGGTGTCTGGCCGGCGAAAGAAGGACTCGTCTTGTGAAGATATATATAAGGAAAATTTTAACGAGGAGCGATAGACACTCGGCTGTCAGAGTCTGGGCCGAAAACCCCCTCCCTTCCCTCCCCTTTCAACCCTCACCCCAGCTAGACATCAAGTTCTTTAGTTCTCAGACCTGAACACTGAACACTGCGTTGCAACAAAGTGGGGAAGTGTGTCAAATGCTAATTATAGAACTTGGTCATGACAATATATATATTTATACATGTATATATATAAGTGCCAAAGATTAGAGGCGTTACAAAAGGGTAACAAACACAAGAAAGAAGGAGAGACCAGGACAATTGATGTTGTTAGATAAGAAAGAAGGAGCAAACCACACCAGAGCATCCGCTAACAACTCGCTGCTCTAATAAAACATTAATACACTGACAAGACCCTTTGCCATCTAGAGCAGGGCACTCGATCTCACCTAGGTGAAGTGAGGAAAATTCCTTTCCCATGGACACAATGTCAGGTCCCTGACGGGGTTCGAACCCGTGATCTTTCAGTTGTGAGCTTAACAACCTAACTACCAGACCCATACCTGTAAATGGCCAATCAAAAAATTGTCTGAACTCATCGACGCGAATATCATAAAACGCAAAAACTGCCAAAAGACACAATGTGCGAATACAGTTTGTAAAAGTAACATATAGTGACACATACTGGTAATAACAGTACTATAAAAAAAAATAAAAATGCCTGAAAATAAAAATGAAATGAAATTAACTCACCCAAAATAAATCTACTTTATACAGTAATGATGGGGGGGGGGGCTTGCTTTCAATTGCTTTTAAATCGCTGTTGCGATCCACAATAGCAAGGCCTGCCATACTGGACATGGAGATCTATCTAGCCTTTAAGAGGCTTTAAATTATAAAATGCGAGTTCAAAAAAGTAGATTAACTACTACACCTGCGTTAAACTAACGCCAAAATACGGTAACCTATGGATAACACACTCACAATAATATAATAGAACACAATCCAAATAGAAAAGCAAATGTATCAAAGTTAAAATTCCACAAAAATCATAAATCAACTCAAGAGGCCATCCTATTCGAATGAACAATGGAGAGAGAATGAGAAAGAATCAGATTTCAAATCGCCGAACACTCGCCCTCGGCCCGTACTCCGTACAGTACGCAAGAATTATCTTTCACATTATTCTCCGCAACAATTGAATTCAAAAAGTTCCGCCAAACATTTTGGCAAATACAAAGAAATATATAAGGGTCGGAAAAAGAGTGTCTGAATGGAGCTAACGATAGCCGTGTGTGACGTGTGTGTTCAGCGATGGCGGACGCAAGTGAGAGTCGTACGCGCGAGGCGAACAGGGCTCGGCGGCTCAGCCCATCGTCTGTCGGCCGATCGATAAATCTATTTTTAGATGCAGCGCTGGTGGGCGAAACAGATTCACGCGATGGTTTTCTATCAAAATTTCTGAGCAGCGTTTGGTTCCCTTGAAAAAGGGAGATTTTACGATTGGCGGATTTCCAACTATTGGCGGAAGATTTACAGGTATGCAGACCACAGACGCCACATGACCAGATGACAATGGTTCGAATCCCTAAAGGAGAATTCTTGAAGGTGGGTCTTTCGGGGGGGGGGGGGACTGAGTATTCGTTAGTCTCAACACACTCAGCCAAGCCTTTTCTCGAGTAGATGTGAAGTCCAAGGTCTTGCTTCAAAATAACTTTCCATAGTTAAATCAAAAGGGTGTTAAACCATTAAACCAACACGATACAAAGACAGCAACCCCCCCCCACCCCCCTTTACACACACACACGGCAAACTCCTCCCCTCCCCCCTTACACGCACACATGCACGCACACACACACAACTCCGACACAGACGATAGCATACATCCCATCAAAATTTCATTTATTCCTCCTTTAAGTATATACAAAACAGGAATTGATGAACATCAAACACATCAGGCAAAATGGAATTACCTCTATAATGATCACTTTTACTTTAATAAAACACAAATCACACACATTTACTCACTTTCAATAACTTATATACGAGGCTAAATGAGTTAAATTTTAGATTTCTTTCCAAAGGCATATAGAGATGCATGTGAATAACAGAACAAGACAATAAAAGCTGAAACAATTCCTCATGGCAACCAAGACAGCCTGACATAGCAAGGACGCACAAACTTTTAACCCAAGACAGCAGTTCATAGTTCTGTTTCTGTTTTATCTTTCTCTTTCCTTCCATGAGAGGTTAATAGTAATACAATACCATTGAAACGAATTTTTTCAAAGCAATCCAACTGATCCAGCTGCCTCAATGAGTTAGGTGCATAAACCTAAACATTCATAAATTCTACCTGTCGATAACAAAGTGCCTATTCTTTCGAAGGTGATCTGAAGGAGACAATTACCTTTCTTTGTTCTACTTGGAAGAGCTGAGTATCAAGTTTAAGATTTTATTTTAGCAAAAGTTTGAAAGCGTAACCACTATTCTCAGGCGCCCCATCAATGGTTTGGTCATATTTTAACAGAACAAAAATGTTGCTTTACAAACAGTGTTGCCACTACAGAAGCATCAATACAAAAATACACATGGCACACAAATGACAAAAACAGATTCTACATGAACTTGATGGAAACAACTGTCAAACCCACACATGCAACACTGAGTGACGCAAACATCAACCTGTACATATCACAAACCAAAACTCCCCTCTAAGTTAGTCATTCACGTCAAACTTGATGCCTCGCTGTACCAAAGTATTATTGTCAACCTTGACCGTCCAGTAACATACCAAACACAACTACAAATCCTGGTCCCAACCCCACAGAAAAATAAAAGCAGAACTAAACAACAAGAGGATAAACTGTACTTTTGCACACACACTCTCTCCGCCACACCTAAAGTTCAATCATCCTACATGATGATACAAGAAGGAAACCCACAGAAAAATAAAAGCAAAACTAAAAAACAACAACAACAGGATAAGATGTACTTGCTCACACACTCTCTTTCTCTCTGCCACACTCAAAGTTCAGCCATACTAAATAATACAACCAAAAGTTTAGTCATACTAAATGATACAAGAAAGAAACCCTCTCATGCCTCCCCACCATGAATGAGCGCAACTCCATCAGGCTTACTACACAATTCGTTCTTTGCAGGGTCGAGCATGCTTCTTGACAAACCCAAAACAAGAAATACACACCACCCACCATCCGTGGAGACACATCTTGTCAACCGTCCGTCATCTCCTCGTTCCAGTGTCTCTCCTGTCGCAGACATCTTCATCGCTTTCGTCGTTGCTGCTGCTGACTGAAGACTCCATGATCCCATCGTGTAATTTTGTCCATCAGGCATGCACACACATACACACACTCACAAAACACGCCTGAACCTACGCACACAGCATACACACACACATGTGCATGCTCGCGTACATCCACACACTCACTAAACACTCATTGTGTGCATGCTTGCACACACCGACACACGAACGGAATACATATGTGCATGACGTGCATGCAAGAGCACGCCCCAGACACTCAAAAGAACACTCATGTGCACACATGCACACATCAACACGCTCAGAGAGAACATTTGACATTCACAAACCCGTACATGGACACAAGCACACACACACACTAACATACACACACTCACACACACAACCAGACACACTCAGCCTCCCTCGACGACGCCCATCACTTGAGTAGTGACCACTTGATCTGGTCTTTTGCCGACTGAAGCACCTGAAGAGACAAAAACACACAAAAAAGACCACACGGTTAGTTTGTTTGCTTTTGCTTTAGTCAGTTTTTCAATACAAACAACACAATTAGGTCATACATTAATAATGCCAAAGATTAGAGGCGTTACAAGAGTAAAAAACATTTTTTTAAAGGTGAGATAAAGACCATCGAAGTTTGATAGGAAAGAAGAAGCAAACCACACTAGAACATCCACCAGCCACCCATTATGTTTAGTTTAGAGCTCATCATGTTGAGTCACACAGATATAAAGATGGTCATAACCATACAACAGTCTGTCATTTTCTTTCAGTTGTTTCACAGTAGTATTCATCCAGCAAATACTGTTCAGTATTAGAAAAAGTTTTACCACACTTGCAACACAATAAGGTCATATAAGTGCAGAAGATCACAGGTGTTACTAGAGAGTAACAAACAAAAAAAGGAGGGATAAGGATAATTTAATAGAGATGTTTGGTAAGAAAGAAGTAGTTAATCACACCAGAGCACCTGCCAACCATCTACTAAGTGTATTGTAGTTTGATGCCCTAGTAAAACAACAACAATAAGCCATTCTAAAGGTGGGTAAGTGAGAGCAATTTTGGTCTTCACCACCAAATAGAAAGGCAATAAGGAACAGTACGTACATGAACAATTTATGCTCCACTTTAGGAGAAATCATAAGAGGCTTTCAAATGTTGACAAGTGTGATGAACCAACTATATCAAAGCAACCAAGAAGTGTTATACTAAAGAAGACATTGCCATTGAGTAAGATTGGTATGAAGTTGGAATACTTCTCATGAATGCTCATCATTACAGTGATAAAAAAGATCAGCATTAGTAAGTTATTTCCCATGTCCTGCGTGCACTGTTCAATGCTTTATTAGAGTACTGATAGAAAGTTAAAGGAGTCCTAGTTAATTTACCCAAAGCAAACTTGATCTGCATATCGTTGGCTAGCTATTCAGACGTATTACGCCCAGAAATTTTGAAAATTCATTTTTTTAACAGCTGTTTAAATCTGTGGTTTCAGTTGCATATATGCATTGTGTCACATTCCAAATTCTGAATGTTCAAAATGGGGGGGGGGGGGGAAAGATACATGGTGTAGGTACAATAGTCCAAAAGAATGAAACAGGTTTTTTTCCCTTTTTCCTGAAAACTCGTTTTCTAAGCTTAGCACATAGTAACTGCTTGCCAACTATATGTACCAAATGCCTTTTGTGGTCATGTTATCACAATCAACACGTTTCACCAATGGGAGGACCCACAGACTGAATATCATTTTCAGGCTCAAGTTCAATTTTTTTAAAAGCCGCAAATGGAAAACAACATCAAAGTACAGATGTATTACGAAGATTTTTTTGTTTTAGTAAGCGTTTTACGGCACTTACAACACAATTGGGTCATACAAGTGACGAAGATTTCAAGTGTTACAAGAGAGTAACAAACACACAAAAAAAAGGAGGAAGAAAGAAAAGGACGACAAATGTTTGATACGAAAAAAGGAGCAAACCACACCAGAGCACCCATCAACCACCCACAGAGCCGCACCCATAAAACACAACTGGCATCTGCGGTGCAGCCATAAGGCACTTCGCTGCCACACAAAGGAGACCCAGGTTCGATTCCTCAGGGGAACAGACAATTTCTGTTGAGTATCTCGGTCTGTCTGCTGCGTTGTCAGTTGTAGTATCCCTCTCAGCCCATGCTGGCCGTGACAGGCAGGGTTGGGAGGCTGTCTCCTAAATGATCTAAATTGTGCCAGCAGGGCAATGGTGCATAAAAACACCTACACAGGGGCAGAGATACTTGATAAAAATGTTCTCATCGTTTAGGAATTGAACCCGGGTCTCCTGCATAAGACAACGATGTGCCTAACTACTACATCACCGATACTGGTCTAAATTAACCTGATCACTTTAAATATACAGTATAACACAGATAGTTCGAATTCGTCAGGACCGGCTTCGGTAGTTTGAAGGACCCGTAGTCCGAGGGATATCTTACAAAGATAAAGAAGAAGAAGAAAAAAAACGGGACAACCAGGCACAGTTCGACAGATGCGTGATTTCAACTCTTCTGTATTCAACCTATTCGTGTTATACTATACTTTTAAAAGATGCTGATTAATATGAACCATCGCAACAGTTTCCTTCAGTGAAAAGCATGATAATATACGATGTATATCTATAATATATGAGCAATGAAACTGAAATAAATCCATTTCCTACTACGATGTTTCTGTTTCCTTCACAGCAGATAAAGAGCAACAGAGAAAGAAGTACGTATTCTCAAATTCAAAGTACCCACTTACAGCATAAAAGCATCTTGTGTAGAAAACGCAAAAAATACATCCACTCCTCAGTATGAGACCGCAATACGTCACTTTTCAAAATGGTGTATGGCTGTGTAATATGCTAATCCGTAGATAAATCATGCAAAATACACTGACAATCAAGGTCAACCCATCTTGAACTACAGTTGGCAAAAAGGGTTGAGGCGGGGAGAGGGAGAGGCAGGGAGAGGGGTGGTTGCTACAGAACTGCCACCATAAGACCAAAAGGGCAAAAACAATAGAAGACAAAGATACACTAACTAAACCACCATACTAAATTGTCAACTCTACAGAATGATTGAATATGCAAAGAAACAATACTGAGAAACTGGGACAAAGCATGATCCATCTGTCACCCACAGAGTGAGAGAGAGAGAGAGAGAGAGAGAGAGAGAGAGAGAGAGAGAGAGAGAGAGAGAGAGAGAAAGAGGCCACGATAGAATTTTGATATATCGTAAAGGCAGACCTGCTGACCCCTCCATGACAAAAAAAATTGGACCTTTACTCAAAATCCTCTCTAAAATCGGAGTTTGGGTGGACAAAATCAGAAGTCTCGTGAACCACGGTAGATTAGGAAAACATTACAAACCGAAAATAGTGATATTAAACTTGTATTGTAGACGCAAATAAGAATTTGAGTATTTTCAAATAATTTACTATAAGTCACGGATATATAGCAAATAAATGCGTAGTGTTTCCATGTCATTTTTGACAAGTTGCATATGACTGCTAGAAACAGAATTCAGGGAATGAAAAAAAAACCCAAGGTATTTTATACAAATCTGATAGCAGTACTTGAACTGGCCATTATCTAGTTAATTTTACCTCTGACAACCCTCATCTTCTTCAATCACAAAATCTGGACTCCAGATAGATGGGCATTTTTTTTTCACCAAAAGCAAGTAAAATGAAAAAGCTTTTAGAGGACATTATTAACTTCATATGCCAAAAAAAACAACCCAAAAACCTGACAAACACCAAATTCCATCGTATGTGACAAACAAAAATAAAAACTTTTTAACAATTTAAGTCAACATGATATGACAGTCAAAACCAGTACAATCATACAAATTTGGCTGTGATACAAACCTGGGGAAGGAAAGATTACTACTGACAATACAGGGACATCTACGATCCATAAGCATAACTAAGGAAAATAAGAAAAGGCGAGATAAGAATCAAAATCCCAAAAACAAAAAAATGTTGGGGAAAGAGGGATACGAGCACCAGGGGTCCCTTCTCCAATAGCCAAGCTCCACACTCACCTCCAGCTTTTTGCTCAGTTGCTGCCATATGGCACAGAGAGTGAGTGACCACAGTGAATATAAGTTTGTTCACATCTCAACAGAAAAATAAGAACACAAAAGAAATAATTCTTTTTTTCGCTTCTTTTTCTTTAAAATATGAGGGTATTTACGCCCCCCCCCCCCCCCCTCCCCAATCAGCGCAATTTAAATAATTTAGAAAGTTGGCTTTTGACCTTGCCTGTCAGGGCCAATCCGGGTTGAGAGGGATACAATATATTCACGCAGGAAGACTGACAAACAACGTTCGACAGCAGAGCGCTTGATCACTCCACCACAAGCTCGTAAAACTAAGACACAAAAAAAGAGAAGGACAAGAGTCCTCCTTGTCCCTTTCTTATGAAGGGTCAGGAACATCCACAGAAACATGAATCTTAGAAAGAAGAAAAGTGTACCCTTTCAAACAGAATTTGAGTCACAAGCCACGTGCGCTATCAACAAAAACACATCAGTTTCCACAACTCTCAGGATTTTTTTCTGCCATCTTGAAATACATATTCAGTATTATTGGAAGTACCATCAAACAAAACAAAACAATAAATAAAAAAAGGAACAACAAACCAAAAAAATAATAATAAATTAATAGATATACCCCAACCCTACCTGCCCCCCCCCCCCCCCCCAAAAAAAATAAAATAAATAAATAAATGGGTTCTGAAGGATGAGTTGAGTCCTTTTTCCCTGTTAGGAAGGACTCGGAAAAACTACTATGACTAACAGACAACTGATAAATAAAACCAACTTTTGGACTCCTACAACCACTTTTAGGGGGCTAAAAAAGGTTAACAGTAAGGGGGTAAACATTTTCAGTTAAGCCTTAAGACTGACAGTTTTCCGTCCTCTTGGCGGAAGGTTTGAGTTTGAGTAAAGAGAACACCGACACAACAATGGTTATACAGAGCCGGGAATAAGAAAGACAGATAGACAGAAACAATACAGGGAAAGCAGCAAAGAAGAAGGACCTGCCACCCACTCTTTGTGATTAGGAAATACTACATGATACAATCTTGGCAGAAATATCTATTTTTGTGACCTTCAAAAATCTTGCAAGAGAATTTTGTCTCTCACGGGCAGCAGACAGTCCAGAAGCCAAACGCACGAAAATCAATTAGTGACCGAATATTGTTGTGACTCACTGGGCAGGACCTGCCACGCCAGTGGTTCACCGACGATAGAGTTTTCATTAATAAACTTATTTTAAAAATCACGTTCTGTCAAAAAACCACAATTATCAACTTTGGAACCAGCTTATCAAAACAACAAAATGACTCGAGAGATTTGATTCCTTGCTGAAGTTTGCGATCATGAGAAAGAGGTGAATCAGTTTATTAGTGTTCGAATGCTTATTCAGTTGCTTGC